CGAATTAATATTACTGATAAGAGAGGGAAGATTGTTTTTCGTTATCAATATTATTATTTAACACGAGTATGAGAGATAAAGGAGCAGGCAAAACACAAACAGCACACAAACCACACACACAAAGCACACACAACACACACGCAAGCACACACACGCAAAATATTTTTAGCATATTCCCTCTGTTATGTCTGTAGCTCATGCCAAGGGGAATTAGATTCCCTTTTGGTGACTGTCAGATGTCCAAAAGGCGAATCGGATCCTTAACCAGGCGTCTATAAACACACCGTCTAAAGGATGTACAAAACAGATGAGCATCTATCTATCTATCCATCTATCTCTTTATCAATATACATACATACATAAGGAGATAAATGATACATGTAGATAGATAGATAGATTGATTGATAGAGGGAGAGGGAGAAGAGAGAGAGAGAGAGAGGGAGAGAGCAGAGAGAGAGAGAAGGGAGAGAGAGAGAGAGAGAGAGAGAGAGAGAGGAGAGAGGAGAGAGAGAGAGAGAGAGAGAGAGAGAAGAGAGAACAGAGAGAGAGAGAGAGAGGAGAGAAAGAGAAGAGACAGACAGAACAGACAGAGACAGAGAGAGAGAAGAGAAGGGAGGAGAGAGGAGAAGGAGAGAGAAGGAGAGAGAAGGAGAGAAGAGAGAGAGAGAGAGAGAGAGAGAGAGAGAGAGAGAGCAGAGAGAGGAGGGAAGAGAGAGAGAGAGAAGAGAGAGAGAGAGAGAGAGAGAGAGAGAGGAGAGAGAGAGGGAGAGAGAGGAAGAGAAGGAGAGAAGGAAGAAGAGAGTGAAGGAGAAGGAGAGAGGAGAGAAGGAGATGAAGGAGAGAGAGAGAGAGAAGAGGAGAGAAAGAGAGAGAGAGAGAGAGAGAGAGAGAGAGAGAGAAGAGAGAGAAGAGAGAGAGAGAGCAGAGAGAGAGAGGAGAGAGAAAGAGAGGAGAAAGCAAAATAAAGAGATAACGATACAATAAAGAGAAGAGAAAAAACAAAGAGAGAAAAATAAACGAAAATAACAAGATAAAAAGAATAAATAAATAAAAAAGAAAAAAAAACAAGATAAAAAGATAAATAAATAAAAAAGAAAAAAAAACAATAACATAAATAAATAAAAATCAATACAAAAAACAATAACATAAATAAATAAAAATCAATACAAAAAACAATAACAAAAAGTCGGAAATACAGCAAGAAAAAAGCCTCAACTTACGACAACCCGTTATACGCGCCCTTACCTTTCTTTCGAGACGGTGGACCTCAACCTCCGGGGCTTTGTCGCAGTCCAGAGCAAAGGTACTAGGGATAGGAGCGACCATCTTCATCCCGTGGTGTGAGTCCTTCGTCGAGGAACAGTCCTTCAGGATGTCTATGGACGCTATTTCGAGGCTGCAGTCGTAACGCGTTGTGCCTCCTGTGGTGAATGAAAGGGAAGGTGTGAGAATTTTTGTTTTTATTGTTTTATTTATTTGTTTTTTTTTCGGTTTGGTTGTTAGGGTTTGAGCGATTGGTTTGTTGATTATTGTCTTTTATTGTTTTGATTTTATTTTTTTTCTTTCATTTTTTATGTGATTGTTCATTCCCTCTCTCTTTTAGTTTTTTTTTTTTATTGTCTTTTTTTTTTTTGCTCTTCTTTTCTTCGTTGTTTTATTTACCCTTTCTTCTTTTTCCCTCTTTCTTCCTTCTCTTTATTTTCCCTTTCTTCGAATCCTTCCCATTCCTTTCCTTATTTTCCTTCTTCTCTTCCTCTGTCTCTACTCTTCCTCCTTTATCATCAACTTCTCCTCCTCCTCCATTTTCCTCCATCCTCCCTTCTCTTACCTCACCACCTCCTCCTCTAACTTTTTCTTCCTTTTCTACAAACTAATCTCATTGTCCTCGATTTTCAACTTTCTCTAACTTATATCTCCTCTTCCTTCCTCCTTCTTTTTCCTGGTTCCCCCTCCTTCTTCCCCAACCTTGCTTTTCCCTCTTTCCCTCCTACATTCCCTTCCATTCTTCCTCCTCCTCTCTTCTTCCTCCTTCTGGCGTCCCCCTCCCCCTCCCTACTTCTCTCCAACCTGCTTTTTCTCTCTCTCCCTCCTACATTCCTTTCCATTCTTTCCTCCTCCCTCTCTCATTCGCTCATGCCTCCCCCTCCCTACTTCTTCTCTGTCCATCTGCCTCCTCCCTCAAACCTCCCCATCCCTGCACCTTCATTCTATATTCTTCACTTTCCTTCTCCCTTCTTTAAACCCATCCCTACTCCCTCTCTGAGCCTTTTCCCTCTCCACCCCCCTCCTACCTCTCCTCCCAACCTTGGCCCACTTCCCTTCCTCCCACATCCACACGGTCGCTCGACCACCAAGCTTTCCCGCAGATCCACCTACCACAACTCTCCACCTCCTTCTTAGCTCCACTTCTCTGCCCTCCCCCAACATACCCGAAAAAATACTCCGCATTCAAATATTCTAAAGTATACTTCGCGCTTCAACCTCCCGAATTTCCACTATACCGAGACCATAGCATGAATAGCCATATTCGTTCCTCCTTTCACCACTTCCTGACGTCTTCTCTCTGACACCTCACCGCCCCGCTCTCACATCCTGACCTCGGCGTCTCTGACCTCCGCCCCTAAACCCTCCCGCTCATATATGAACGCCCCCCTAAGAGGCCCGCGCCCTGAATCCTCGTTGCCGCCCTAAACTCCGAGCCTTCTAGACACGACAAAATGAGATTATACAGCGAAGGGTGGCAGCCCTGAAATGTTCTCCGCACGAGGTGGGTGTAAAACGAATGCTAGTATCACGTCTCCTTCCTGGGCGAGTAGGTAGAGACAAATCTCTCCGCCCCTCTATGAAAACCTATCACCACTTCCTGCCCTCGAAACCTACCGGCTCCTACAACCCCGGCCGGGAGCGCATCAAAGAATTTTCTTGTCCCTGAACCGAGGAAGTTGTGTCTCAAGCCTCACCCAGATTCCACACAGGAACAGAAAGCAGAACTTATAACTGCTTTGGTTAGATAGAATTCCTAATATAACATAAATCTGTTGGTAATATATTTTAAGTGTATACTAATAAAACATATGAATTATATTCACAGCTTGTTAGGGAGTATTAATTCACTCTACGATCATTCTTTTGGAGGGCGTACCCCTTCTGACACCTTATAAAATCACAATGGTAACTTAATACTAACTATTTGTGTACACTTCTAACTCACTTAGTGCGTGATGCCTCCATCTTTTATGCTAACTTTTCCTTAATTTCTCTCCTCTCTTTCATTTCATTAATACTCTCATCCTCTATCCCCACTAGCCCTATTTTTATTTCTCTTTTTTTCTTATCATCTTTTACTACATCCTTATTGCTTCTTTATCTAACTATTATCACAAACACTTCATATACCTACTCTCTAGGCTTATACACCCCTCCCTCGAGCTATGTTCATACTATGCGTCCTTTTGGTCTGAAATAATTACTTTATTGACCTGTTTTTTCTACCAATTTTTATTCTATTTTATATAACTTAATTCATTGTCGGATAATCAAACTACTATTTTCTATTTCAGTTTTTTAGCCCAATTTTTCTATACGTTAATTATTTTATAATAGTAACCATACTTCACTTAAATAAACGCCATATACTTTATCACCGTATTCCACAATCCCCATATCGCTCACAACGTACTTCTTCACCTTCCACAGTGTTTCGCCTAAACACCTTCGCCCCTTAAGCCTCCCCAATGTCGCGCTAACACCCGAAAACGGCTGATACACCCTCCACACCGTATTCCCGCTCGCTCTATCTAATTAAGGTTAACTCCCTCCTTTACTAAAGCCTTATCGTCCAGAGAAAGAGTTACCGCGCGCACCACAAGTAAAGATGAAATATACTTCGTTCTGTCACAATCACAAAGAGATATGCATCTCGCTCTTAACCGGACTCCAACCAATTCGGAAATATACTAGCCTGGTCACTCTCCGTCAGAAATGAATATCTTCTACCACTACTTCCTGCTGCTTTTTCGCATTCCTCTTTTCTCTGTCCAATCAGCTCAACCCGGACGTCCCTCGAATATACACTTATGCGACTCCTGTTCACCCCGGCTCCCTCCGTTTCAACCCCGCCCCCAACGGTACCCTTCCCACCACCGGCCCTCCCGTCCCGCGCTCACGCCCCGCGGCTCCCCCCCACTCCCAACACGTCCGCCCTTGCCCCCTCGATCCAACCACATCCCGCCCTCCCACCACTCCACCCCTCTCCCAAACCCCGCCCTCACTCTCCCTCCCTCACTCACCCTCCAACCCCGACTTACACCCACGTCACCTCCTTCCCCTAAAACCCCAAAACCCCGCCTCCCCGCCTCCAAATCGACTCCCCCCCTCCCCTCCAAACCCACGCCCCACCACGTCCCTCTCCCCTCCAACCCGCTTCCCCTCCCCCTCAAACCCCGCCTCGCCCTAATGTCATGCTCCCCGTCCCACCCCGTAATTCAGTAGTTATCCAAACACCGCTATTCCTGCTTGCCCCATTTTCCAACATTCAACCTTCGCCCCTTCTCCTCACCATCCCGCCCTACCAACCCCGCGCCACCCACATCTGCACCTCACTGAGAAGTGAACGAATCGAACTTCCCACCCACAAGTCGAGAAACTGCTCATAATCCGATCACTCTGAGGCCGATACGACTGGTCCTTCATTCCTCGCCCTAGTTCCCACGCCCAGGTTTCGACCCCGTACCAAACGGCAAGCCCTATCCCCTCTCCCTTCGCCTCCTACCTCCAAACAACCCTCCCCCTCCAAACCCGCCCTCCCCCTCCCCCCCACCTCCCCCCCTCCAAACCCCCGCCCACCTCACCTCTCAGCCTCACTCGAGAATGAACGTCGACCTCCACCCAAGTCGAGGAACTGCTCCGATCCACCTTGAGGCCGAACGACTGGTCCTTCTCCTCGCCCCAGGAGAAGGTGAGTCCTCCGCCAGTCCTCGGGGACCAGAAGATCTTCCTGGGGGAGTCGAGCGGGAAGCCGAGGGCCGTTAGGTAGTAGGTCCTGCAGTCTGGGGAGGGAGTTGGTTTGGGTCGTTCATTTTCTATGTTGTGTGTGTGTTTTACTCGTTATTTCTATTGTTATCGTTGCTATCATCATTACTGTTATTATTATTGTGATTATTATGATCATTATTATCATTGTTATTATTGTTATCATTATTATTACTATTATTATTGTCTTGTTATTGTTATTATATGTAATTATCATTATCATTATTGATATTATCATCACTATTGTTATTATTATTATTATTATTATAATTATTATCATTATTATCACCACTATTATCCTTATCATTATTATTATTGTTATTATCATGACCACTATTATTTCTAATTTCATTATCATCTTTCTTTTCACCACATGTAAATATATAATCATTACTATCATTATCAATGTCATTATGTACACTATCATCACCACTGTTATAGTTATCATAATAATCACCATCGCTATTATCATTAATATACTTAAGAAATAACATTAAATAACAAGACAGAGATAAGTCCTCGGATAGCGCATACCTCCGCCAAGGCAAAAGGGTCACTGATGCTATAAGAATATTCACACTTAAAGAATTACATTAAAATCACGTCTTTCTCAAGTACACCGATTTCCCTATCTCGCAATGCAAATCAATCCTTTAAAAATATATTAAAGTTGGACTAGGACACACCTCTGGTAAAAAAAAAAAAAAAAAAAAAAAAAAAAAAAAAAAAAAAAAAAAAAAAATCCTTAAAATCCTAAAAATCCTATCATAACTTTTTGAGTTATCCTGCTAACCAACTCGCAATGCAAATAAATCCTTTAAAAAATATCAAAGTCGGACTAAGACACACCCCTGGTAAAAAAAAAAAAAAAAAAAAAAAAAAAAAATCCTAAAAATCCTATCATAAATTTTTGAGATATCCTGCTAACCAACCGACCAACAAACTAACTAAACGCTAACGCTACCAGACACACAACCTCCTTAGCAACTAACCTCGTCTTCCTTCGCAATATTTGGCGTTGTGGCGACAGTCTGAAGAAAAGAAAATAGTGTGAGATTTTACTCTTTAAGGGAGAGGGTGACACTGATCAAATTGGATTTATTAATTGGATGTTTTATATATATATATATATATATATATATATATATATATATATATATATATATATATATATATATATATATATATATATATAATATATATATGGATGGTTTGGTATGTGCTAGATACAGGAATTATTTTGAAACGTGCATAGGTATAAGTATATATACATACAGAGATAAGAATAACACTAAAACACACATGAGCATACACTCAGATACAGTCACACAGGCATACGCACATACAAATAATAGATAAACATACAGACACAAGAATAACATACACACCAAAAATATCCACACACAAACAACCCACCCTACACACACACACAATCACACAAACAAACACACACACATACACTCACCCACCCACCCACACACACACACAGACACCCCCCCCCCCCCACGCACACACACAATCACACATACACACCCAACACACCCTCACGCCCACACTCACCAACTCACACGCCCACAAAAACACACTCACCACAGGGGAGGACACTACACTGCAGTGCCCATAAACTGGATATGCTGCTTTTCACGCCCACGCCCATGGCACCGCAGTCCGGGTGGGTGCAGATCCTGCTCTCGTTCACGCCCAGAGAAGGGATGATAACGCTGTAGGATTCTGAGAGATAGATATCCTGTTTAGATAAGGTTTAATATCCTTTTCTTAGGCTGTTTATCTTATCAGTATATCAGGTTTGGATCTGATTATGTTCTTAGCGATGTAATTTCGATTATATATATTCAAGATTGTCATCTTTAATTATTATCACTAATACCATTAATACTACGTCCACACGCGCACACACACACACACAGACACACACACACACACACACACACACACACACACACACACACAACACATATGTATATATATATATGTGTGTGCTTGTGTGTGTATGTGTGTGTATATATGTGTGTATGTGTATATGTGTGAGATTTAGCGAGCATATACAACAATACGATTAAAAAAGTACGAGAAACTAATAAAACAAACAAACAAACAAAAACGATAAAAGAAAAAAATAACAACATAAAGAAAATAAATCAAATGATAAAAAAAAACAATATAAAGAAAAAAACAACAACAACAACAACAACAAAAAACAGCTGACGAGCGATTCCCAACCTAATCTCCGCCTCACATCCTCGACCTCGGCCTTGACCTCGATCTCGTGCCACATGTTCCTCTGCTCCTCCTCGACGGCGACGCTCACCTCGAGTCCTTCTCCAACGAGGGACAGCTCCTCCACGTCGCCCTCGGGCCACCAGAAGATCCTCGAGATGTCCTTCGTCAGAGGCGTGCCCACGGAGGTGAAGCGGTGGACTTGGCATCCTGTGGGAGGGAGAGGAAGGATTAGGAATCATGAGGGAAGATGGAGGAGGATGAGGAAGGATTAGGAACCATGAGGAAGGGATCGGAGAAGGATTAGGAATCATGAGGAAGATGGAGGAGGATGAGGAGGATTGGGAATCATGAGGAAGGATTGGGAATCATGAGGGAATTGGAATCATGAGGAAGGATCCATGAGGAAGGATAATCATGAGGAAGGATTAGGAACCATGAGGAAGGATTAGGAATCATGAGGGAAGATGGATGAAGAAGGATTAGGAATCATGAGGAAGGATTAGGAATCATGCAGAGAAGGATTAGGAATCATGGGAAGGTCATGAGGAATCATGAGGAAGGATTAGGAATTGAGGGATGGATCATGAGGAAGAGGGGAAGATTGGGAATCATGAGGAAGGATTGGGAATCACGAGGAAGGATTGGGAATCATGAGGAAGGATTGGGAATCATGAGGAAGGATTGGGAATCATGAGGAAGGATTGGGAATCATGAGGAAGGATTAGGAATCATGAGGAAGGATTCATGAAGGAAGATTAATCTGAGGAAGGATTGGAATCATGAGGAAGGATGGGAATCATGAGGAAGGAATTGGGAATCATGAGGAAGGATTGGGAATCATGGAGGATTGGGAATGAGATTGGGAATCATGAGGAATCATGAGAAGGATGGGATCATGAGGAAGGATTGGAAATCATGAGAAGGGTTGGGAATCATGAGGAAGGATTGGGAATCATCATGAGGAAGGATTGGGAATCATGAGAAAGGATTGGAATCATGAGGAAGAGTTGGGAATCACGAGGGGGGATTGGGAATCATGAGGAAGGATTGGGAAGAGGAAGTTGGGAATCATGAGGAAGGATTGGGAATCATGAGGAAGGATTGGGAATCATGAGGAAGGATTGGGAATCATGAGGAAGGTTTGGGAATCATGAGGAAGGATTGGGAATCATGAGAAGGATTGGGAATCATGAGGAAGGATTGGGAATCATGAGGAAGGATTGGGAATCATGAGGAAGGATTGGGAATCATGGTGAAGGATTGGGAATCATGGTGAAGGATTGGGAATCATGGTGAAGGATTGGGAATCATGATGAAGGATTGGGAATCATGATGAAGGATTGGGAATCATGATGAAGGATTGGGAATCATGAGGGATGGGAATCATGAGGATTGGATGAGGAAGGATTAGGAATCATGAGGAAGGATTGGATTCACGAGGAAGGATGAAGGAAATCATGGAAGGATTCATGAGGAAGGATTAGGATCATGAGGAAGGATTAGAATCATGGGGGATTAGGAATTAGGAATCATGAGGAAGGATTAGGAATCATGAGGAAGGATTAGAAAGAAGGATTAGGATTGAGGAAGGATTAGGAATCATGAGGAAGGATTAGGAATCATGAGGAAGGATTAGGAATCATGAGGAAGGATTAGGAATCATGAGGAAGGATTAGGAATCATGAGGAAGGATTAGGAATCACGAGGAAGGATTAGGAATCATGAGGAAGGATGGATGAGGATTAGGAAAGATGAGGAATCATGAGGAAAGATAAAGAAGAATTAGATATCATGAGGAAGGATTAGGAGTCATGAGTAAGGATGGATGAAGATGAGGAAGGATTAGGAATCATGAGTAAGGATGGATGAGGATTAGGAAAGATGAGGAATCATGAGGAAAGATAAAGAAGAATTAGATATCATGAGGAAGGATTAGGAGTCATGAGTAAGGATGGATGAAGATGAGGAAGGATTAGGAATAATGACGGAAGATGGATGAGGATGAGGAAGGATTATGAATAATGAGGAAAGATGATGGAGGATTAGGAATCAAGAGGGAAGATGGGTGGAGAAGGATTAGGAATAATGAGGAAAGATGGATGAGGTGGGATTAGGAATCATGAGAAAGAGGAAGGATTAGGAATCGTGAGGGAAGATGAATAGGGAAGGATTAGGAATCATGAAGAAAGATGAAGGATTAGGAATCATGAAGAAAGATAAATGGAGGAGGATTAGGAATCATTGATGGATTAGGAATCGTGAAGAAAGATGAACGAGGAAGGATTAGGAATCATGAAGAAAGATGAGTAAGGATGGGGAAGGATTAGAAACTATGGGGAAAGATGGATGAGGAAGAATGAGGATGATGTATTCTGCGAGTAAAAGGTTACAGTTGTAGTTAAAGAGCTGTGTTGAGTTTTCTTCGTTTTTCCTTTTTTATTGTGCTTCTTTACTTTTGTGAATCTCTTGATCTGTTTTTTTTTCTCTATTTCTTTATGTTTTATCTCCCTCTCTCTCTCTCACTCGCTCTTTCTTTTTCTTTCACTCACTCACCTCCCCCATCCTCTCACTCACTAACTCTCTCTCTCTCTCTCTCTCTCTCCCTTCCTTCTTCCCTTCCTCTCTCCTTCTCTCTCTCTCTCTCCCCCTTCTCTCTCTCGCTCCTCCTTCTCTCCATCCCCTCTCTCACTCATCTACCGACACCCTCTTTCCCTCTCTTCCTCTCCTC